TCGACGTCGCTTCCTTTGCTGGCGATTTCCCCTAAACCAAGAAAACCGACAACCCAAGAGTGTCGATTAATGTTGTGCGTCTGACCGAACATCCAATCCCAAGTATTTGTCCTTCACTATAATCGATTGGGGGCTTCTTTCGTTCAGTAGACGAGTTCGAGAGGGAAGCAGCAAGAACGAAGAATGCATACTGACGCTGCTGTCGGTGGTGGTACGACGACGTCGAAACAAAAAGTGATTTTACATTGATGTTCAAAACTAATCCTAAACACACCTTCTTCCTCCATCGAACCGACACAGCTCGACTCCAATACCTCCGGCTTCTTCCCCCAATATAGGTGACTTTTTAGGATGAATATGTGTCGATTGACGTTTTCTGACTCTGTGTCCGCCGACTTTTGATTTGGCGAGGTCAAAGAAATGGTGAAAGAGAAACCGACGAGTACATTTGGAGCGGGGTGGGTTGATTTCCCCCTGATTTCTAAGGTACGTAGTTCTAAATTATTGGTTCCTTTATGAGCATTTTATAGCTCGATTTTAATGTTCTTGGTAAGCAGGACTCGGATGGATTTCCACGCACCATGATTAGTGTTCCACTTAATCGATTGAAGCTACTTACGGTGTCTCCTGGAATAGCAGCAGACGGCATCTATATTAGTCCTTTTTGCAAGTTCCCCATCGTGTTACACCTTACCAACCCCTTCTTCCTTTCCAACATTCAGCACTCATGCTCGTGTAACACCGCCTCCATCACTATTGTATCACCTGCGAACCCTTCCCTCCCGTTATGTCTTCTCCCGTAAGTGTGATTACAAAACAAGTTTAACTGATTTCTGTGTATAAATCAATAGCATGCTTGATAAATTGTTATTATTCTGCTTAGTAGCTTTTTTGTTGATTTGAGTTTGGATTTTTTTATATGTACTATGTGTGAATTCTTCATTAGAATACAAATTTTATCTTTTTTCCGCTATTTAATTTATGCAGAAAACAAAACCAACACAACATACTTTTTGGGGGATTAACAAGCTTGGGAATTGAAGTATGCAGATTTGACGATTTGTTTTGCACACCATATGTTTGATAAAATGCTTGAACCAAAAGGGATATTTCTTTTTCTTTAAAGCCCATGTACGTGAGAAAAAGCTTAAACAAATTCATTCTGCAATTGAAAATTCTGGATTAGATTGAATAATGGTTGTTGTCGTTAGGTAAAATTTATCAAAATTTCTATAAATTTTAAGTGAAGAAATTAATAAAATAGTTGTTTATTTTTTAGGCACTTTGGAGGGATCAAACTAGGCACTGGAGGTTTAGTTAGGGCCTATGGTGGTGTAGCAACAGAATGCTTGAAAAATGCTCCTACGCTGACTTATAAAATCTCAAGTAATTACTTTTCCAATAAATTTGATGATTTTATAAAATAAACAAATAAATAATACTAATACATTGCTATAACTTGGAAAAACATGTTATGTTTACAGGTTCGTATGGGTGTTGAGGTTAGTTTCGATCTTTTGGGGGTTGTTTACCACCAGGTAACACTGAATATTGTTTGGTAGTAATAAATAAATAAATAACTACTTTAACTGTTAATAGTATTTGTTTATTTATTTACCTTTTTTTGTTGGTGATTTTTTTAGCTTCAGGCATTTAAAGCTGAAGAAATAGAACAAGATTAAGATACAGGAAAAGATGGAATAACAATGGTGACATTTAAAGTTAGTTTTGATCAGGCTGAAGCATTAGAGGAAGCTTTAAAAACCAATTGCAGTAGAAACCTTGTATTTTACAAGCATTGATGAATGGTCCCTGTGGTTTGTAAATGACGATTTTGCCCTCAGATGCCTTGCACATGTTGTGACTTAACGGATCAAAATTGATAGAGTTAGATTTGAATTCTTAGGAAACTTCAACAACATTAGCTGGATAATGCTTCACCAGGCTGTCGAATGGGCATTAGCCTCCATCAAATGAGTTAAATCTTATAGCTAATAATGATATTGATATCAAAAGAAAAAAATCCTAACCGTTAACTATGATTAAAAGGAAATTTGTGGCAGCAGCAAGGGTGGTGCCCTAAGCTTCTACAGTTCCGATTGAGGGTCTATGGAAAATCATATCTACCGAGACACGGAGAGAAAGAAAAGGAAAAACCCTTGAAGTTTTATTATATTAGGGCGAAATTCTCCTACTTTCTCTCTCTATACGCTACAAGATTACTTCCAAACATACAGAAAATAATTAAAATTTTGGAAAAATCTTAACAGTTCTTGATGCCGGCCTCATCGTCATCCTTCAAAAGAATTAGTTCTCTGGTACGATGTCTTTTTCTTCAAATTTACTGTTCTTGATGACCTACATTTTAACAATTCTTCAAATTTGACCCAAACCCACTTCATAAAACAGTTGACTTTGCACACAAAATATAAAAATCATATTTTTCTGTTGAGTGTTGACTAATGTATTTCAGGATCTCATGTAGTTCCTCCTTTTTTGCTGCAAGATCTCATGTTTTAATGGTGATTCAATGAAAGAATTGAAATTGTTATTAGACTAATGTATTTCATATAGCAAGAAAGTATTGAATTACACTAAGGTCTTTCATATAGTAAACATATATGTATTTGGTTTTATTTTCCTGATGAGTAAATGGAAATTAACAGGGGTATAGATGGGAATGGAGGGAGTGGATAAAACAGATATGCGGTGCTGCTTTGTCGAAGTTGTAAAATGTGAGATTTCCTTTACTTTTGCCCTAAAATATGAGTTGTCGAAGTTGTAAAATGTGAGATTTCCTTTACTTTTGCCCTAAAATATGAGTTGGAGACGTTTTTTTCTAGAATGTTTTACTTATAAAATCATATGGTTATGATGTCTTTTTTATTAAATCAGATAGATGGCGGTTGTTTGTTTTTTCTCTTTCTGAAAATCAGATTTAGGAATGGTTACGAAGTTTTTTTCTGGAATAGATTTGTTTCTAAATTAAGATTATTGTTGTTTACTTTTGTTTTCTGAAGTCATATGCTTTCCTTGAAATCTGATGCTTTCCTTCCTTAAATTCTCATGCTTTGCTTCCTCATATTAAATATGGCTTGAATATGATATTTTGGTTATAAATTGTTTATCGATCGTTCTTCTTCAATTTAAATGTGTGATTAACAAATTTTTTTCTTTTGAAAACATAGATGTGTTTAGGAGGATCTGTTACCCATCAACTCCTGTCATAACATCAGAAATCATTGACCTTATTGTGCATTATGAAGGCTGGTAAACTCTTGAAGCATATTAGTGTAGTTGTCAAAACTTTGATAATTACCATTTTATATCACATGGACCAAATTCATAATTTTCCCTTGTCTCTAATTAAAGTTTACAATATTGCTAAATGGAACTTTTTTCTGAAGGAATATTGGTTTTATTTTTATCCAGATACAAAGCCCTAGATTTTTTTCCATTCGATCTCTCTTGAAAAGGGCATTAGGTAACATGTTATTAGATCTGTTACTTTCTTGGTCTTTTGTTTTATAGTAATGTAGTCGTTTTAACGAATTTGTTTTAATGTAGTGTAAGATGGCAAATTAAATCGATAAATGGAAGCTATGAAGGACAACAATAATCTCCAGAGCATTGCCAGTTGATGGAACCACTGATTTGGATTGGAAAGCAGAACTGTAACCAGAACGAATTACATAATGTTTTATCACTGTTATTAAGTGCATAGCAGCTTGCTTTTTGGTATGATGGAATAAAAAGGAAGGATAGAATTTTTCATTCCATTGCCAGATGGAATTGAATGGATAATTTCGTTCTTTCCACGTTCCTTACAAACTCAAAACCTAAGTACATTGCTAGTATATGACTTCTTTCTGTTTAAACTAATTTATTCAATATGATGTTTCGGAGAACTCTTGGTGGGGGTAATTTGTGGGAGACACCGCTTCACTCAGCCTGCCTTAATGGCCAGAACGATGAAAAATGAAATTTGTCTCATACTTATCCATCTTTTAGGTTATTAACATATTGATCATAGCAGGATCAGATGTATTAAAGCTTAAACAACTATGTTAGATTTGTGTATTAGACTAATGTATTTCATATAGCAACTACATGAGATCTTTTTCATGTCTTTAGCGTGTCCAACCCCAGATCTTCCCTAGTTTTCTACTAAAAGATAACTACCGAATAAATATAACCATTAATATAGTGATTTGGTCTTATATTTTGAGTTTAGCTGGCACAAAATAACAATTAACCATCATTACAAGCAGACAATAAGGCCACTACTATAAAAAAAAAAGTTAAATAACACTAATTTTTATTGTTCATGATGTCAAATAGTGTTTCAAGGATAAAATCCATATTAAATCGAGGTTTAAAACTAAAAACTATAAAATAATCAAAAGTTTAATGTTATTTATTTATATTGAGTCAAGTAGAAAAAATAAATTTGACTTTTATGCCCTTCCAACTACAGAATAACCATAAGGATGGTAACATTTCCAATGATATGCATTTGATTGATTCAAAATCTTTCTAAATATATTAAGCATCGTAGAAGGGTAATTTAGCTATTTCACCAACATTTAAACATTTCCATTAAGCCAAGTATAGATACTTCATTGACTTTTTGGGTATAAAACATATCAGAAGGGTATGGAATACATCCATCCTCAGGCAAATCAGAAGACCAAAGAGTAAAATTATCTCTCAAAAGTTGCATGATGAAGGTGTTGTCTTTATATAATTCCTCACTCAAAGTGTCCAACTCAGAAAGCGCCTCATAAAAATCCTGTAATTTCATCATATAAAATACTTCAATTTCATAAATCATATGCAAATTTTAAATAAAGAAAATAAAATATATGAATTTACTTTACAGGAGAATATTGAGAAACTGAGAGCCAGGTCAAGACGAATTGGGTGGGTTGAAGTGAGCTCTTTATTTCTAGACTCAGAAGCCCTAAAATGGCAAAATTATAACATTTCTTTGTTTTCTGATAATAATGAACAACTGAAGGATATACCCTGTTTTATCATAATCTCCTTATGTGTAATTACAATTTTTTAAAGTTTTACTATAAAACATACATGGAACAAACTTACTGATCTAACACAACCACATAAATTAATCTGACCTAGAACTTAGTCTTATAACCCAATTTATATATAATATTCAAAGTACATTGCTTTTTTATAACTTTAAACAAAAAAGAGTTTCAAAGTATCTACACTAAAAATGGCATGTATAATAATAATTTTATGATAATTATGAAAAACAATGAAGATTACAATGGAAAATTCATATTTTTTTCATTAATCCCCATTTTTCCCCTTTCACAATTAGAATCAACACAACCATTAACATAAAGCATATATACACTTCATGTATAACATTAAACCAAAAAGAAGTTTTAAAGTGCTTACAAAATAGGATGTTCTATTCCATCCAATATACACAGCATATATACTATGTCTTAACCATGAAATAGCTTGCTTCATCAAAAAAATACATAAAAGTTCCCTACACTACCATTCGCCATGCAATCACGTTCTCGTTGGCCATGTCCATTAAATCTTCCATCTTTCCTCTGGGAATCGTAATATTAAGCATGTGCTTGATGTTTGCTATTCCCTCATCAACTGTTGTCATTGGGTGTTCTGTTACAAATAGGTTAAACTTCTCAATCCTCTTGGATGGTGAGTTCATCATGAAGTGGGAGAAATTGAATTGACACATATATCGGCTTGTGTTCTAGATATAGTTGTTCAACCTCACGAAATTGATATGCCCTAACCGTCATTTTGAAAGTTCCCAAAGCATCATCGTCCAAAATTGGAGTCATGGACAAACCACAATGTTCTTCGGTAGGCATATGATACCAATAACCCATAGTAGGATAACCCAAACTTTTAGAAAACCGACCAAGCAATTCCATGTTAAGCAAATCGATGTTGACAAAATGAATATAGTGAACTTTTGTTTTTTCATAACATTTAACTGGATAATCGGTAAAATATCCTCCATGAACAACTCTAATCGTGAATCTCTTATCATTTCCTTTCCCATACTCTACGATTGGTGACTTTGTTGGTTCTTCACTGCTTATACTCCATAGTTGTAATTGTGGCTTAGCCCTTGGATCGATATTTGCCATTGATCGATGGAGTTTTTTTTTACAGAGGAGGATAAAATGCAACTTATCGTCGGTTGGTGATGAAAATGTTAAAAGGACCATTTTCACATTAGGGAACAGTTTAAATGTATGAAGAATCGGAGCCGAAGAGACATCAACGCAGACCATACTCACATCAGTTCTGACTACCTAGAGGCGGCAGGCGACGTGCAAGTTGAACGACGACGAGATATAATGATTAATGATGTTAGTATTATATATTAATATATTATTACATAAGTATTATATTCAATACTTTCTTTATTTTTAATATCACCATATAAAATATAAATTAATATACAAATTAAATAGAACTATATAAATTCATATTTTCAAATTAATAAATTTTTTAATTAAAAGTTACATGGGTGAGTAGGGGCTTAGGACCAAAATGGGTGTGTAATAAGTGTTGGTAGTACGGGTTAATAAATATGAAAAATAATAAAAATATAGGTGTATGGCTTACTTGTGGGTTTTCAACAATATCAAAAGGTAAAGAAGCATAAACATCGGTTGTTGTCACTAAATCAAAATCACTTGAGGGAAAAGAGGGAAAAGATGTATTACCAACATTATTCATTACCGTATATATGTTTTATAAATGAATGGTACAAAATTAAACACATAAACAAAAATTATACTTTGCAGATGCTATAAAATAAAAAAATAAAAACAATTAGTTATTGATTTCACGGAATTGTTATTCGTTTTGAAAATAATTTTAATAAATGTGTAAGGCTAAATAATAATGGTCTTGGAACCTACTCTGAATAACATAATAATTTTAAGATTCATTGCATTTCGGTCATACTCTCAATGGTTATTTTTTTTTCTATTGTACTTACTCATTCTATTCTTGAATAATATAAATTATTAATATTACTAAATAAAATGACTTATTTTTGTATCGTATACTATCATTATATTTGTTTCATGGATTTTATCAGTATATGTGTTTGTATAATAGGAACAAAGGAACGATATAAATACAAAAAGTAATGATTTCATAATACAATGCTATAGTTGGAATGAACGAAAATACATGTTATACAAAGAAGTAAAACCGTTCGATAGTTTTTTTCATTACATCAGTCAACCGTCCACTGGATGGGTATAACAATACTTTAAACTTGTTAATCGATAACATAGTATATGTTAATATTAGAGTATGGTATAGTTAATTAAAAGGACATGTCAAGTAATTGCTTATCAATTGTATGTAACATTAGAATAATTTTTAACTTACACATTTGATATATAATCTATTATATATATATATATATCTATATTATATATATATATATCTTATATATATATATATATATGTCACACCCCAAACCAGAACGGCAGAAACATTCGGGGGCGGAGGACGTCATGTGCAGTATCATAACAAATGAATAGTAAAGAAAGTACACACAACCATCATATACATAATTGAAAAGTTTACATGATTGTAGTATTACATGTTTGCAAAAGTCAATTACAATATGATGTCCAAAAGATTTAACTAACGCCTGCGCGTAAGTCTTCAAAAGTAGTTGCCAACCTGGTTTAGCGATTCCCTGAGAATACAAGTTATTTGAAAGAAAAAGTGTCAACATTTAAGTTGGTGAGTTCATAAGTTGTTATTTGAGTAAATGAATGCCATTTGAAAGTCCGCGTTTGTTTTTAGAAAATCCGATATTTTCTTATGAAAGATGTTACAAATCATTGTTTGTGTAAAATGTATGTGTTTGAACCAGGAAAATCCTATATTTTCCTAAAAGTGAGAAGTAGTCTTAAATGAACCAAGACCGAACATGTAAGTAAATATGTCATACTTATAATGAAGTGTATAGTTTTATCCATGAATGAAACTATATGAAGCTTGAAATCATACGTAAAAGTAATTGTAATATTACTTTTCCCGTAAAAATGTATACCATAATAGCTGTCTATCCTGTGAGTTTTCATAACCATACTAAGATAAATTTGCCTGTCGCGACGTTCTTTAGGCGTCGAAATGATATGATAATTGTCACCTCTTGGACTGTAGCTAACAATCAAGGTGCGGGCTCATCAGCCCCGTATAGATCTATACACGCTTATCACGTTCTCTGGGAGGAGATTCTGGTTATAAAACATGGCTTTAATGTATACCTTGATAGGTACGGGAAGACAAATGCCTTACATATTCTCAACTAAGTCACGTATTATGAAATGAATAATATTATGATGAAAAGGTTACCCGTGTTTATGATATGTTATACGAACATATAAATGAAACATAGTTATATATATATATATATATATATATATAATATATATATATTATATATATATATATATATATATATAAACATGTTTTATTCTAAAAGGGCAAAATGGTATCGTGAGATGTTTTGCATGCTAATGTTTTCGTATGATACTTATAAATCACATATGATTGATTATATAATGAAAAGTATAGCAAAAGATTGATGTTTCACACGATTGTAACCGTGTGTTTACTTGTATCCCCCCTAAAAGTATTTAAAAGCAGTTAAAACGTATTTAAAGTGTGTTTGTAGGGGTATGAACTCACTTGGTAGAAGTGACGATTTGATGCAAATGATGCTTTGTTTGGGCAACACTTCGACCGGGAAGAAGTCGATTTCTCGGAAATCTCGGGGCTTCGAACTTCCGTCGGGACTTGGACACGTAACCGGGGCGTCGGGGTGGTCTCGGGATGCTAAACGCATAGCAAAAGTGGCCAGAAGGAGAGAATTGAGCAGCCTAAACCCGAGACCTTTGGTTTCTATTTATAGGGTGATTTTGGGTCTCACGACGTGAGAATGGTGTTGCTCACGTCGTGAGGTCGACCTTATCTCTTCCATGGATGCGACGT